AGGTAAAGTTTTGTTTTGGGAGAGCACCTAAGCCGTTTTTACTTACTGTATTGGGTAACATTGTACTAGATTAGCATTTTAACATTATATTTTCTTCCTTTAATCTTCTATTATGGATTTTATCTTAATTTCTTCTTTAATTTCTGCATTTTTCATGAGTAGCTAAATTTCTAGCTAGGGTTGTGACACAACCCTAGTGTGGGTATTTAATGGATGTTTGATATAGGGCTTGTTTGTGATTGGGTTAGTGATATTTAGCCTAGTTCTTGCTTGAATTCAAGAATTAATGGTTGCAAACATTGATTTACGCCTATTTGACTTAGTCTCTACTTGAGATAGAGAGAGAGAGAGAGAGAGAGAGAGAGAGAGAGAGAGAGAGAGAGAGAGAGAGAGAGAGAGAGACTAAGTCCTGGAAAACTTGGCTAAGAAGAAATTGGGGTGAACTCAAGAAATTGATAGCCCCAATTAAAGGGTTGAATCTAGAGATAGTAAGACTCGACTTGAGCATTTATCACTTGTTTTGTGCAATACCCATTTGGACTTGAGAAAGCCAAATAAGAAAAAATCACTCTAACTACCGAGAGGTATTGGGTGGGCAATTGCGTGTGATTGCTATATTATAAACCCGACCAATCAAACTTGCCCTGTAGTTTACAACCCGTTAGATAACCACCTAGGAGGAAGTCACGATCCTAGACCTTTTATAAACTTGAAAAACAACCAAAACCAAAAATATTGTCTCTTAGCTTTTCATTTGCAAACATTAGCATGATCAATAGAAGTAGAAACAACAACCAAATATGTGGAAGTGTAATTTGAGGCACATCATAGATTCACAATAGGTGTATACCTAATCCAAATTCTAACTCCCTGTGGATTCAACCCCGACTTGCGTTGGGTTTTTATTATTGATTCGACGCCTCACGACCTATATTTGTGATGTGAGTGTCACGACCCAGTTTCTCCCTCCGTGAATTGTCACGGCACCTAGTCTCTACGACTAGGTAAGCCTAATATTGCGGAAATGAAATGAAAAGACAAAGATAACAGCTAAGAGATATTGTTAATAAGCAGAAACGGTGCCACTCGTCAAATACATTAATCATTTTCCCAAAACCCAAAAACTCGCTAGTCACAAGCTACTGAGAAGTTTTAACTGTTCTATACATCATCCCAACAAAAAGAAAGAGAAATGAAAATAAAGGGATAGACGGGGACTCCGAGGATCTGCGGGCGCGGGCAGATGTACCTTAATGTCTCCAACAAGCAGCATCGACTGCAACTAGCGATGAGGCTGGTACGATGAACTTGGATCTGCACACGAAAAACATGTGCAGGAAAGGGCATGAGTACACCAGAACGGTACCCAGTAAGTGCCAAGCCTAACCTCGATCGAGTAGAGACGAGATTAGGTCAGGGCCCTACTAGTATAAATATAATGAAATAAGACAGAATGAAATATCACAGTAAAAGTAAGTACGGAAATCTAACAGGAATAGAATCAATGAAAAACAATAGCTCTAAACACGGTGATAACAATAGGGGATCTCCCGAGATACCGTCCCGTAGTCCTAAACGTAAATGTGCAGGGGAATCTCCCGGAATAACATTCTGTAGTCCCAAAGTAAATATGCAGTGCTGGGGGATCTCCCGAAATACTGTTCCGTAGTCCCAAAGTAAATATGCAACTCAACCAATAGAAATAACAGTTATAGCAAGGAAACCAAAATTTAGGCTGAGTTCGAGTCAAGGAAGAACAGGAAATTTCAGTAAAACATGCTGCACAGAGTTCAGATAGGCAGTTAAGGAAGTTAAGGCATGTAGGCATGCTTTTCTAAACTAAACAGAATAACTGCATATGCTAGTGTAGCTCAATTAAAGGAAAACAGATATTTTGCCTAATGAAAATGGAGTTTTTCAACAAATAGCCCGTGTACGCACTCGTCACCTCACGTACACGGCGGTCATATATCAAATAGTACCAAATCCAAAGGAGAGTTCCCCCACACAAGGTTAGGCAAGCCACTTACCTCGAACCAAGCTCAAATCAATCGTAATCAATGCTCTTTCCACGAATATCCGGCTCCGGATGGCCCAAATCTAGCCAAATCAATTACATAACATAAATATAGATACAAGCAACCAATCTAGCTAATGAAATCAAAGCTAAGGCAAGAAAATAGAAAAACGCCCAAAAAACCTCCCCCGGGCCCACGTCTCGAAATCGGGTAAAAGTCACAAAATATGAACACCCATTCACTCACGAGTCTAACCATATCAAATTTACTCAAATCCGATACCAAAATCTCGATCAAATCCCCAAATTTCGGCCTAAGAACTTTTTCTCTAATTTTTCACCCCAAATCCAAAATCAAATGATAAAACTAATGATGGATATAACTATAAAGGAGTTAGGAATCATTACCCAATAACTTCCTCTGAAAATCTCTTGAAATTTCCCCTTCTACCGAGCTCTCAATTCATTTTTGTGATATGAACTCAAAACCCTCATTTTTTATCTTTAAAATCTGCCCAGGTACGCCCTTCTTCGCGAGCACGTTCAAAGCTGCGTGTTCACGAATCACAAAAATCCACTGCTCAAATTTCCTCTTTCGCGGACGCGTAGCTTCACTTGCAGACTCTTCGCGAACACGTAGAGCAAATCCTAGGGGTCCCAGTTGTCCCACCTTTCCTCTTCGCGAACGCGTTGTCATGCACGCGTTCGCGATACACTGATAGCCAAACCTTCACGAACGCGTCCCTATTCTCGCGAACGCGAAGGGCAACTTCCCCTCCTGTCCCAGCTCCTCTTCGCAAACGCAAGACCTCTCTCTCGAACGCTAAGAAGGAAACCAGAGCTGGAGACTGCAACAAAATCTGCAATAATTTTCTTAAGCCCAAAGGTCAGTTAACCACCAGAAATGAACCCGAGGCCCCCGGGACCTCAACCAAACATACCAACAAGTCATTAAACAACATACGAATTAGTCGTGCCCTCAATCACATCAAACAACACTAAAATCACGAATCACCCTCCAATCCAAACTTTAAGAACTTGAAACTTCAAAATTCTACAACCGATGTCGAAACCAACCAAACCACGTCCGATTGACCCCAAATTTCGCACACAAGTCATATTCAAAACTACGGACCTACTCCAACTTTCTGAATCTGATTCAAACCCCAATATCAAAAATTCCACTACCGGCCTAAAACTCAAAAAATTTGACTTTCTCCATTTCAAGCCTAAATGAGCCACGGACCTCCAAAATACAATCTGGACACAGCCGTAAGCCCAAAATCACCCAACGGAGCTAACGGAATTGACGGAACTCCATTCCGGAGTCATCTTCACATAGTTCCGACTACAGTCCAAATTCTAAGACTTAAGCCTCCGTTTAGGGACTAATAGCCCGTTTGGCCAAGCTGCAAAAATCAGCTTATTTTGAGAAGTGCTTTTTTTCAAAAGTATTTTTCTCAAAAGTACTTTTGGTGAGAAGCAGTTTTGTGTTTGGATAATTAGTTTGAAAAGCACTTCTGAGCAGCAATTAGTGTTTGGCCAAGCTTTAAAAAACTGCTTCTAAGTGTATTTTTCTCAAAAGTGCTTCTCAAAAAAGTGCTTTTGGAGAGAAGCTACTTTTTTCTGCTTCTCCAAAACTGCTTCTGCTTCTCCTCAAAAGCACTTTTTTTCTTCCAAAAGCTTGGCCAAACACCTCAATTTTTGACCAAAAGTGCTTTTGGCCCAAAAAAAAGCACTTTTGGCCAAAAAGAAGCTTGGCCAAACAGGCTATAAGTGTCCCAAAACACTCCAAAACCCAAAATAAAACCTCCCGGAAAGTCACAATAGCAGAAAAAGATACGGGGGAAGCAGTTAATAGGGGATCGGGGATCTAACTCTCAAAACGACCGGTCGGGTCGTTACAGTGAGTTTGGGCGACATCATACACCCAAGTTCAAAATCACGGTAGGGACCCACCAGGATCATCAAAATATTGATCTCGATCATTTACACAAAATACTGACCGTAGTCAACTCAAGTCATTTTAAAGCTAAAATTTATATTTTCTTCAATTTTCCACATAAAAACTTTCATGAAAAAGACACGGACTACACACGCAAATCAAAAAATACAAACGGATCTAATTGAGGTCTCGGAATACTGAAATAAGTGCTAGAACTTAAAATGAGCTATCGGGTCATAACATCTAGTTTTGGTTATTCTGTGGTTAATGGCTAGAGGTTGGTAAGGTTGAGCTTATTTTGGACATTTCCGTAAGATTCTGATCTTTTAAATAATATTCTACATTTGAGTTAATTACATTCAAATCTAGCTTTTAATTTAAATTACTAGTTTGTTAAAATTACATGGTGTAACTAATTTATACATTGTATTTACCGTATATAAATACACTTTGAAATAATGACAATTCGTAGCTACTCTTTGTATTTTGTAGCAAACTTTCAGTGGTAAATACAGTGTATGGAGTCAAACACATCATACAGTAACTGTATGCATCACTGTATTTAGGTAGCTACGAATAGTAATTAGACAAACTATAGTTATGTATGGTAATTAGGGCTCTAAATTGTAGTGCTTTAAGAAAATTCCTCTAGTTTGTATTCAATCTATTGGAACTTATTTAACTCAATTGAACTGTAAAGTTTCAATTTATTAAGCATTTTGTGAATTTAATTGTATCCAGTCTAGAATAACAAACATAAACTTAAGAGCCAACCAAATTGCGTTTTGAAAAAACAAAAAACGAATGGGTTGGTCCTAGATAACACTGTAGCAAGGTTCGGCTCGACTCATCTCAATATTGAGTTATTTCGATTAAACTTGACCTCAAACTTTGACTCGGCTCAACTTAATTAATACAGTATAAACTCGATTTGGCTCGATTCGGATGACGACCAAGCCTAGTCAGGAATAGGCAAAATGGTGCTAAAATATAATGAATGAGACGTGCGCAAGAATAATAAAAAGACGTTAGCAAGGAGATGCAGCCCAATCGCATTCCGAATCTTCCGACCATAATCTCAGATATAGACGGCGATTCTTTGGCTTCCTACCGCTTCCCTCTCTCCTTTTTTCCTCTTACCACATTGTAGTGGTTGTCCTTCTTTTCTGTTTTTGTTCTCTCTGTACATCCAATTCCATTACATAAATAGAAATGAATTTTCGTTGTCTTTCTGACGTCCAGATAGATGCCTTTTTGAAGAATTATTAATACAAATAAAAATCAGAAAAGGAAAATGTTATTACATGTAATAACAATTTCCGTTAGGGAAAATAGAAACAACAGGACTCCTACAAGAAAGATCATTGTAAATGCTGTTGGAAGTCACCGCCCTGAACCACCTGCGGCGCGTTAGTTGGAAATGTTCTTTTTTGGATATTTCTATAATCAAATATGAATGCATTAGAGATTTTATTTAATGACCTTGATCACTTGAAGGGAAATCTGTGCACACTAGTTCTTTAATTTGTATAAAGACATTATCTTCCAACATTCTGGTTCGACCTTCTTTCTTTTGTATTGTTCTCTATCCTGTTCCCTTCTCGTTTGGTTTTGTTTTGCATTGCTTCAATTTGTAGGAAAAATCGCAACTTTGGTTAATCACGGTTTGTTATATCCAGTAACACTTTTTCAAAAATTTATTGAGTTCTTTTCTTATTTGATGATGTGATTACATATAGAGGATTATTAGGCAATCTTTTATGTTACAGACTTTGATCTCAATTAAAAAGAAATCTGTCACTGCAACAAAAGCAATGCTTTCTGTTTTTATTCTTGCACGTAATTTTTGAATATCAATTTGTCCGGCACTTGAATGGTATTTGGCTGCATGACATTTTACTGAATCTGCTTTTTTCAATTTTCAGGTTCTTTGGTTGAAATTTCGAAACCATGTCTTCGAAACCCAAACCTATAGAGTTACCGCAGGTCAGTTTTTTTCTCTATCCTATTCCCCATTTTCACCTGACATTTATATTTCGTCATGTGCACAATTCCATGTCTTAGTTTGATGATACACCAAGCCTATTTGAATGAAAATGATTTATTCAAAATTATCATGATTATGTGAATCATCTTTACAATTCTACACATCACAAATATGTAGTAGCACCCCTAATTATAATAGAGAAAAACATACTTTGACTAGAAACTATAAAAAACCTATTCCTAATTAGACATGAACAAAATAAACTAGCAAATACCAAAATTTGAACAATTCTGTTGCTATGTGAGAATCCGACCCCAACTTGTTTAATTATTTGTTCATTCAGATGAGCAATATGCCATTTGAAGATACATGTCAAGGCAGCAAAGGTAGTGAGAGCACAGAGACTAGTTCCAGTAGTACTACACCCCTAAAGCCACACACTGGTGGTGACATTAGATGGGATGCGATAAATTCGGCTACTGGTAGAGGAGGATCTCCTCTTGGTCTTAGCAATTTTCGGTTGTTGAAACGACTTGGATATGGGGATATTGGAAGTGTGTACCTTGTTGAACTCAGGGGAACCAACACCTACTTTGCCATGAAAGTGATGGATAAAGGATCACTTGCAAGTAGAAATAAATTGCTGCGAGCCGAAACGGAGAGGGAGATTCTAGGTCTTCTTGACCACCCATTCTTGCCAACTTTATATTCTCACTTTGAGACTGATAAATTCTATTGCTTAGTCATGGAGTTCTGCAGTGGAGGTAACCTTCATACCCTCCGTCAAAAACAGCCCAATAAGCATTTTACTGAGGAGGCTGCTAGGTTAGTACCTATTTCTACTATCTATTTATGGTTGCTAATTTAAATTTCAGTTCATTATGGATTTTCTAGTCCATACAAAAATTGCAGCTTGTATAGAGGATATCATACTAGGAGTATTAGATATTAGATATATGCTCCATTTACCTTTCAGATTGTTGAATTCTTTTCCATGCAGAGCATGTACTTCTATATTAATTAGCTGTTCTTTTTTGCTACTCTCTCGAATGGCCTAAATCATTGCAGATTTTATGCATCAGAGGTGTTGTTGGCACTTGAATATCTGCATATGCTAGGAATTGTATACAGGGATCTTAAGCCAGAAAATGTACTAGTGAGAGATGAGGGTCATATTATGCTGTCTGATTTCGACCTATCTCTCCGTTGCTCTGTCAATCCAACTCTTGTCAAGTCTTCATCTGTACATGGAGGTGGCAATGCAAGCAGTGGAGGCGGCATTTTAGATAATGACAATGCAGTCCAAGGTTGTATGCAGCCCTCAAATTTTTTCCCTCGTAACATTCTTCCTACCAAAAAGAATCGAAAGTCTAAATCAGATTTCGGGCTATTTGTGGGAGGATCACTTCCTGAGCTTATGGCAGAGCCTACTAATGTGAGATCCATGTCCTTCGTTGGCACACATGAGTACTTGGCCCCTGAGATAATTCGCGGAGAAGGTCATGGTAGTGCAGTGGATTGGTGGACTTTTGGTATATTCTTATATGAACTTTTGCACGGGACAACCCCTTTTAAAGGTTCTGGCAATCGCGCCACACTGTTCAATGTAGTAGGCCAGCCTTTGAGATTCCCAGAAACTCCGCAAGTGAGTGCTATTGCGCGAGATCTTATAAGGGGGCTACTCGTGAAGGAGCCACACAAGAGAATTGCATATAAAAGAGGTGCTACTGAAATTAAACAGCATCCTTTTTTTGAAGGTGTTAATTGGGCTTTGGTCAGATGTGCTGTTCCTCCTTCTATACCAGAACCTGTGGACTTCACCCAATATGCAAGTAAAGAAGCATCAGCTCATTATTCAGATAAGAAGATGCCAGAAACTGAAAGTCATGATAAAAACAAAAGCACTTCTACTGATTCTTCATATATTGACTTTGAGTACTTCTAGGATCGGATTCTGGAGAATTCAAATAATACGTTAAAATGCAGAGGATTTTCGCTTTTTTTGGCCATTCAGGTAATGTTAATGCTGATCAGTTAGTACGTAACATTTGAAGTATATAAAAATCAAATGGTCGAATGTGGGCTAGTAAGGATTGACCAGCTTTGAATGATGTTGAAGTATTATGTGGGCATGCAGTGTGTTCATTGTGTAGAACTGCACGGCAATAGCTTCCAAGTGCTTCGAGAAGAAAACAACTTGCAGCACTTTCAGACGAAGGATTTTTCTGACTATAGTTTGAGTGATAATGGCTGCGAATATATTGTGAATATGATTTGTCACTTCCTTTGTTTCATTTTATTTGACCCGTATTATATTTCACTTGACATGAATTCAAAAATATTAATTTTAATTGTATAATATGCCATATATTATTAGTGCATGTAGAAATGCATACTGAAGTAGTTGAAAAGAGAACAAAACTCATATCAAAATTAAGTGTAAATTGTCTAATGAATTTGAATATAGTGTCGTTACCGTGAGTAACATTAACAATACTATACCTCCATTACAGCTTTCGTTGTTTGTTTATCCCTTTTGAATTTTTTGATAAAATTGTACTTCTTCCGTCCCAATTTATGTGTCATAGCTTGGATTTCGAGCGCCAAATTAAACTTCTTAATTTTGATCGTGAATTCGGATATCATTTTTAAATTTTTTTGAAATAAAATTTAAATATTTGAAAATTACGTAAAACATGATATACATCACAATAATTAACAAATCAAAATATTTAAAAGACATGAAAAATATCGATCAAAAACTCTCGAAATTTAAACAGCGCCATATATATTAGAACGAAGGGAGCACTTAAATTAAAAGTCAGCTTGCTTCCCTCTATTCTTATCATTAATTTTTTTAAATTTCAAATTAGTTTTATTAATTGGTTTAAATATAGTGCTACTTAAGCTAAAGATTCTCTTTATTCTAGTTTTTGACCCAAGAAAAGTGCTCAATATTTGTCAAAGAGCGTAGAATTTCGGAAAAATGGAATAACACGGAATATATTGCTATTGGCCTGGGTTGTCATTCTTTCTTCCCTCTTCTCTGTTGGATGGGATCGATGATTATCATAACTTATCATCCTTCCCGAACCTTTCAAGCTACCCCACTGATGTAACGACCAGATTGGTCGTTTAAGCATTTGCATTCCGTTCGACTGTTTGGGGTCTTGAGTAGTTTCACATGACGTATTTATGACTTGCATGTATCGTCAGTTTTGGTTCTCCAGTAGTTCGGGATCGATTTGGTAGAATGATATTCATTTCGGAAGCTTTTAGTTGGAAGAGTTGACCAAGTTTGACTTTTGTGTATTTGACGTCCGATCGGAGTTTTGATGGTTTCGGTGGGTTTAGATGGTGATTTTGGACTTGGACATATGCCTAGACTTGCATTTGGGTGTTTATATACGGTTTCGGCTCAATTTGGCGAAAGTTGACAACTTGAAGGTTTGAAAAGTTCATAAGTTGGACCGGAAGTTGACTTCGATGTTATTGGGTTCGGATTGTTGTTCAGAAAGTTGGAATATGTTCGTTGTGTCATTTGAAACTTGTGTGCAAAATTTGGAGTGATTCTGAGATGTTTAGGCATTTCGGCGTAAGTTTGAAATTTAGAAAATTTGAAATAGTTTATTAAGCTTGAATTAGGGTGTGATTCGTCGTTTTGATGTTGTTATATGAGATTTGAGGCCTAGAGTAGTTCTGTGTTATGTTTTGGGACTTGTTGGTATGTTCGGACGGGGTCCCGAGGGGCCCGGGTGAGTTTCGAGGTAGTTCCAGACCATTTCGTCTCTATTTGGCATAGCTGTTTTTCTGCAATTCTGTTGTTTCAGTCCTTCTACGCGATTGCGAAGGTAAGGACGCGATCACGTAAAGTTTTGGGAGTTGCTGGTTGTTTATTCATCGCGTTCGCGAGAGGAGAAGCGCACTCCCGAAGGGTTGAGAGGTTTGTTCATCACGTTCGCAAGTTATGGTTTGCGATCGCGGTCCAGTGGAGCTGGGAACTTCTCTCTTCACATTCGCGAGATCTTAGGCGCGTTTCGCGTAGTTGTGGTCCTGAGCTCATCGCATTCGCAAGGGTAGTATCACGAACGCGAAGCATATTTGTAACGACCCGATAGGGCGTTTTGAGTACTAGTCTTAATTCTCATGATCCGAGACCTCCCATAGCTTAATTTAATATTTCTTGATTTGCATGCGTGGTCCTTATCTTTTTTCGAAATGCTTTTATGCGAAATTTTGAAGAAAATCATAATTTAGACTAAAAATGAGGCTAGAATTGACCACGGTCAATATTTTTTGGTAAATGATCCCGAAGCGGTATTTTGACAGATCCGGTAGATTCGTATTGTGATTTTGGACTAGGGCATATTCCGGGAATTGAAGTTAGAGGTTCCTAGGTCTATTTGACTTGCTTTGCCGAAAGTTGGCAATTTAAATATTTAGAAATTCCTTAGGTTTGACCGCATGTTACTTTATGGTTATCGAGTTTGAATTTTTGTTTTGGGACTTGGAAATAGGTCTGTTTTTCTATTGGAAACTTGTCTGTAAAATTTGGTATAATTCTGAGTTGGTTTGATAAGAATCGGACGCTTGGTTGCGTTTCTAGCTACTCTTGAGTTTCCTTTTGAATTTTATGGGTTTTGATGTCCAATTCGTGGTTTTGGATGCTCGTGCGAGCGAGTTTGTATGATATTTTTACACTTGTATGCATGTTTGGTTTGGAGCCCGAGGGTCTTAGGTTAGTTTCAGATAGGCTTCGGACCATTCTTGGACTTGTAGGAACTGTTGGTTTTTGCTTCTAGTGTCTTGTGCTTCGTGATTGCTAAGCTTCTCTCGCGACCGCGAAGGAGAAAAATTGGGGTTGGGGCTGGTATACTACGCGAAAGCGAGAGGCGGGTTGCGAACGCGAGGGCCTGGGGGGATTTCCCTTTACGAACGCGAATAGACTCTAGCGAACGCGTAGCTTTGGTTGGTTGGGGGCAGGCACGGGAAATCCTTCTATGCAAACGCGACACATATGTCGTGAAGGCGGAGGCTAGGCTGGGGATGCCTTCGCGAACGTGATGGCCATTTGTCCAGTGTTCTTCGTGAACACGTTAGGTGCTTCGCGAACACGAAAAACACCTGACGCCCCGCTATTTTAAAAGTTGAAAGTCGGGGTTATTTCACCAAATACCATTTTCGAAAGCTAGAGCTCGGCCTAGAGGTGATTTTAAGGAGATTTTCATCCTAACTTTATTTGTTAATGATTTTTAACTAGTTTTATGTATTTTCGTAATCGCCCATTAATTTTACCCTTTAATCTATGAATTTCAAGATAAAAGAAATTAGATTTTGTAAAATTGGGATATAGACCTCAAATTGAGGTCGGATTTCGAAATAAATCATATAATCGGTCTCAGGGGTGAATGGGTAATCTGGCTTTGGTCCGAATCTCGGGTTTTGATCGAGTGGGCCCGGAGTTGGCTTTTATTGACTTTTTTCAAATTTATTAAAGATCAAGTCTTTTTCACCCATGGGTAGTTTCTAAAGCTTATTTTAAATTATTTGAACTATATTTGGCTATATTTGATTGGTTTGGAGGCTAATTCTAAAGGAAAAGCCATGGTTGAGCATTGATTTGATTGCGGGAAGAGGCAAGTGTCGTGGTTAACTTTGACATGAGGGAATTAGGACTTGTTGGTCTATTTGCTAAGTGAATTATGTGTAAGGACATCGTATATGTAAGGTAACGAGTATATATGCGTCGTCGGTAGGTTAAAGCATGTGGGTAGAAATTGTTTTATTGTACTATGCTGTTTTATTGACTATGCTTTTTATACCTTAGTTAGATTATTATTTCTTTGATTGTTCGCCTTCATATTTATTGTTTACTTTGAAGTTGTCGGGATATTGAAAGTTGAGTTTGTTTATCATAACACTTTGATTGAAGTGAAAGTTGCTTCGCACCTTGCATTGGTACTTGGATTATTATTGTTGCATGGTAAGGAAGAGTGAAAAGTACGAAGGGTGTTTCCGTGCCTTCTTTACATATTACTATCATTGATTGAGAGTTGACAGCCATCGTTCACGCATTGAAGATTAGGAGGCACTATCTGTACGCCGTTCATTGTGAGGTCTGATTGGGGTATCCAACGTCTGTTCAAGCAGAAGGACCTCTATTTGCAGCATAGGAGATGGTTAGAGTTGTTGAAAGACTCTGACATCACCAAGTTATATCATCCAGGGAAGGCCAATATAGTGACCGATGCATTGAGTAGGAAGGCTGAGAGCATGGGTAGTTTGGTAGATTTACCGGTAGTTGAAAGGCCACTAGCCATGCATGTTCACGCTTTAGACAATCGATTTGTGAGATTGGATATTTCGGAGCTCATCCAAGTTCTTGCATGTGTTGTAGCACAGTCATCGTTATTTGAGCATATCAAGCTCGCCAGTTTGATGATCCCCACTTGCTAGTGTGGAAAGACACGGTACAACGAGGTGATGCTAAGGAGGTTGTGATTGGTGATTATGTTGTTATACTGCTTCAGGGCCGGATTTGTGTTCCAAACATTGATGAGTTGAGTGAGTTGATCCTTGAGGAGACTCACAATTCACACTATTCTATTCACTAGGCGCCACGAAGATGTACGTGACTTGAAACAACACTATTGGTGGCGAAGCAAGAAGAAAGACATCGTTGCTTATGTATCTCGGTATTTGAATTGTTAACAGGTGAAGTATGAACATAAAAAATCAGGTGGATTGACTCAGATATTGGAGATACCGGAGTGGAAGTGGGAGTGCATCACTATAGATTTTGTGGTAGGCTTACCAAAGACCTTGAAGAAATATGATGCAGTCTGGGTTATTGTGAAGCGGTTGACTAAGTCCGCGCACATCATTCCGGTGGCAACTTCATATTCTTCAGAGGGATTGGCTCAAATCTAAATCCAGGACATTATCCGTGCACGTCGTTCCCAGTTCCATCATTTCTAACCGCACGCAGTTCGCATCGCATTTTTAGAGAGCCGTGCAGCGCGAGTTGGGCACGCAGATAGAGTTTATATATATATATATATATATATATATATATATATATATATATATATGATTTTGCTAACATACTACATAGTTGTAGTAGGTTAGCAATGTATGCATATTTAGTTTTCCTAAAGTGCCCTTACTTTTCTTTTTGATATACGGTTTTTTTGTCTTTTCATCTAAAAATTCCCCAATTCAATTGCCATCTATTAACTTCTCAATCAGAACCCTCCTCCGATCTCTTCGTCGTTCTATCATAGCTGCTAATACGATGCCAGCAGAGAGCAGAGTTGTTTAACAACTCGAGCTTTATTTTTATTTTTCCAGTTTAGT